CGCCCGAGCACACGCGATAAAATACGCCCGGGGCCGTAAATCCCGGAGCCGGGAGCAGCCGGAACGTGGAGCGGCTTTTACTGTACAGGCAGCGGCATGTTATTTAAGGCGCCTCTTAAAACCTAATGTTAGGTTTAATAAGAGGGATAAAAGCATGTCAGCGGTGTGCCTTGCTCGCAGGGGGACGCGCGCAGCTCGCCACAGCCCTGGGCCCGTGTCACGCCAGGCCTCGCACCTGGGCCCCGGCCCCTGTGTCCTGCCGGGAGGGGACAAGGGTGGCATAGCCATCCCTTCTCCCTCGGGGCACGGCCCCTGAGGCTGCTGGCTGTGGGGCGAGGGCCAGCCGGGTCCCGCTGGGCAGTGCAAGAGAACGGCAGAGCTCCCCGGGGCATGCCCAGCACCCCACGCCTCCCCGCAGCTCAGGACCTGGGCTGGCGGGGGCCTCTCTCCTGCACAGCGGGTGGGGAAGGTGGCCAAGAACCCACACCCACCCGTGGCATGGCGTGGCGTGGCACTGTCCTGGGCTGCCTGCAGCTCCCCGGGGCCAGCAGGGCGGGCAGGTGGCACCGCTCGCAGGAGCCATGAAGACGTGCCCGGAGCCCGGCTCCGGGGGGGGTCGGGGAGCCCCCACGCCACGCCAGCGCCCCCGGCTGTGCCCGCGAACCCGGCGCGTGTAAGCCCCGCTCCCGCGTGTCAGACATGTGCCGTCTCATTAGCGCGCTTGTCCCCCGAAGTGAGCAGGGAGCACGCGAGAGACCTAATTGAATGTAACTAATTATTCACTCTGCAAAGGCGCTGTGTAAATGGGGCTGCGAGGGACAGAATTACTCATTCCGAACAGGGGAGAGAAAGGGAGAAAGACAGAGAGAAAACAAATAGAGGGGGATTCTGGAGCCGCAGCGCCCGCTCTCCCCAGAATACCAATTACCACAGGAAGCGATTGGATAAATCTTCCCTGAGCCAGCGAGCTGCACCGCTCACTCACTCCTGTCCTCTCCCTCGAGCAGCAACGGGCAGACATCCCTGCTGCCGCCCAAGGCCGCGGGGCCGCTCCGTGCCGCGGGAAACCCCGCGGTGCCCACCGGTGCGGGGACCGTCACCACCCGCTGGGGCTGCCGGATTCACGCCCAAAGTCCGAGCTGGGGCAAGGGCCGAGCTGCAGCCCGCTGTGGTCGCTCCGAGGGAGCCGTCGGGAGAGCTGCAGCCATGGGCACCTGGGCACTGGTGTGGACACAGCCCCCGCGGGAGCTGGACCAGGGCTGAGCCGTCCCCTGGGGCAGGCGCTGCCTGGGAGAGCACCGGGGCAGGTGGCTCTGGCTCCGGCTCCAGGCCCACGAGAGCAGCCCGTACGGCTGGCACCCGGCTGGGGCTGGGGCTGGGGCTGGCGCTGCCCGGGCAGGGCAAAGCACGGGCTCTGTCCTGGTCTCTCCTCCATGCGCCATGGGCACCCTGCTGCCCCTCCTCAAGCAGGGCCGCGGGGCAGAGTCACCCTCCCTGGCACCCGGTGCCTCCGTGTTGCCTGGGCAGCCTGGAGCCGAGCACCCCAGGGCCAGACGCGGAGCCACGGCCTTCTGCCAGGCCCCGTGTCCTGCCTGGCGCCGGCCCTGCCAGCCGAGCCGCCTGCTCATGCACGCGGGGCCCGGCAGCCCTGCTCCTGCCAGGCCCCCACGCTGCACGCACGAGCCGGCGCTTTAGCTAAATCCGCAGCCGCGAGGCAAGTTTAACGTCAAGAAACCTCTCCCCAGCGCCGAGCGCACTGGGAACGCGAGGCCCTCCGCTGCCCGCCCGCTGCAGGCAGGGTCGTTAGCAGGAGCGCAGCTCTGCTCCCTCCCAGGCAGGGGAGACACACTAATTAGCAGCAATCTCCATCACTTCTCCCTGACACGCCAGTTAATCCTGAATCCCCTCATGCGGCTGCCTCCAACTCCTAACGAGGCTCTTCCTTGTCCGGCCTGCCATCCATCCGGCCCGGAGCAGGCCAGGGACTGCCGGGATGGGGCAGCTCCACAGCCCGTGCGCTGCAATGGGGCAGCGCGCCAACCCCCGAGGGAGTTGCCATCCTTGTAGTGGCACCAGCCGCGGCCCCGTGCACCCGCCCGTGACCACACACCAATAGTGCGGTGCAGGGCTGGGACAGCCAAGTGAGGCATGGCCCAGGACACAGGGCCCGGGGCCACAGCCCCTCTGCCCCCCGCCCGGCCCCCGGCCTCAAATGCACAACGGGTGGGCAGGCAGCCTCGCCCTGCCGCCTTGGACAGTCGCCCACCTCCCGCCCCTGCTGGAAGGGCAGGGACCACCTTGCGAGCACAGGTGCACGTGCTGCGTGTGTGCAGTGAGTGTGCATGGTGTGTGCACACTTGACGGGGCACGGCCAGGGAGAGGCATGCGTGGGGAGACAGCTCCTTCACTTTAGCCTTTCCCTTTGCATCTGGACTTGGGCTCCTGGCAGGTGTGTGCTTTGGCGGGAGGCAATCCCCCCGGGACACGGGAGCACTCACGGGGTGCAGGCAGCAGCCCGGGGCTTTGAAATCCAGCTCCCGCCCCTGGGGCCTGGCTCTGGCTGCGGGTGCCCAGCTCAGACCCAGACACATCTTATCTCAGCCCAGAAATAAGGGCTGCCCTGCCTGGGACCCATCCGAAACCACTCGCATGTTTCTTGTGGACCAGAGCTGTGCCTCCTCCTGGCTCTGACCTCTTCCCACTGGAGGCATCTGATCCCCCCACGCGGCCACGCAGTCAGGTGCCCAGGAGCCCACGCCTGGTGCAGGCTGGGGGTGCACAGGTATATGCGTGTGCGTGTGTGCACACTCAGTGCCTGTGTCGCAGGGGCCAGCTGCACGGCGCTGCGCAGAGGAGGCCTCTCTGCATTGGCCAGTTGCTGCCAGTGGAGGCAACTGGGCCACCAAGCAGCGGGGCCCCGGGAAAGCCAAACCTCCCAACCATCTGGCCTCGCATGTGGACATTGGCTTCACTGCCGCCA